CAGAGGGGAGTGGAAGATATTTGGATGATGTGAGAAATGGTGGAATTTTTGGTCATTCTTGTAACTGCAAGATCACTAATTCCCAGAGGAGAGATTACAGTCATTAAAAGATGAGGCACAAATTAATTGAGCAACAAGCCACGAGAGGCTGTGGTTTAAAACTAAGGGGTCCTTTTATGAGGGCTTATTGAATTATGAAAAGATTACTAAATGTACCTGGCAGTGTTTATTGTTTTACAAATTATACTGAGGCTGCTTTTGTGATGGTTGTTAACTCAGCTCTATCTTAAACGTGGGGTAGGTAAGTTTGAGAAACCGGCTCGAGATACACTTTTTGTTATATTCCATGGAATGCTCTTAACATCCCGATAGCAATGAATATCTGAAGTGCTTTGAAAAAAAATCCATAAAAAAATGTCATCTGTGGAAGCCGTAAAAGCACGACCAATCATCTGAGCCGGCCCGGCTAAAGTAACTGGATGGCCTACCTGCCTGTCAGCCTTCCATCTGTGCACAAACTTATCTCGTGCCCTCATTGGTCATGTGCGCGTTCGTGTGTGTTGGAGGAGGGGCTCTGTAAGGAAGTGGCAGATTTTCTCCGGTTGTGTATTTTCAAATTCTAGCACACTCAAGCTGGTTTCTCAAACTTACCTACCCTACCTTTAACGTGTGCAAGCAGGAAATAGCCATCAGGCTTTTAAACTTTTTCCACTTGGACCTTTTGTATTTTTTTAATGAAAAACATCATTGTAGTTGCAGAAATGTTGCCAAGCATACGCAGTGGAAATCATGCATCGAGGCAAGTCACTTTTATGCTGTATATTAAGGACATAACTTAGTTGGATACTTAAAGAGACATGCAAACAACCTTCTTATAAAATGGGATTTTTACATTGGAAATTGAAACATGTTCTTTGGCAAACACACGTTTACGTTTTGTTTAGAAAGATAATCGTCACATAATAACACCGCTTTATGATTATTGAAGCATAAATGCAGTCGCTTGGGGTTATAATGTTGGGCTATAGAGGAACCACAGCACGGTCCGGCAGTGGTTCAGTCAGTAGGGGCTTGGATTGGAAGCTGTAGGGTCGCCGGTTCAAGTCCCCGACCAGACCTAAAATATGGAGTGTGGACTGCTACTTGGAGAGGTCCCAGTTCACCTCCTGCCCTGCCGTGGTGCCCTTGAGCAAGGCACCAGACACCTCACTCCCATTGCTCCCCGGACGCTCTACAATAGCTGCAATAGTAGTACAATAGAGTACTAGACTCCTGGTACTAGGATGGGTTAAATGCAGAGAACACATGTCACTGTGTGCTGTGTGCTGTGTGCTCTGCATGTGTGACCATTGAAGAGGGGTTCATCCCTCCCAATTCTATCCACATGACTTCACGTCACTACCGCTAAGCTAAAGGCGGCTAATGTTGGGCGTGATGGCGTTTAGTCGTCTAATTTAGACACTTGTTAGCAACCACTGTTTTTAAATTCACCTGTGGGGTATTTACTGACGTATTTTATGTCGTATAACAAAATGAGAAACCAGACAAAGTGTTGTAGCACGACAATGTGGAATGATATCAGTATATGGAATCTGATTATGGCTGCACATTTCTGAGCAAACGTGCACCTGCTTACCCCTCATTTCAAAGATTAAGACTTGGAAGCTATTTCTGTCAATCCATCCCACCTTTCAACCAGCCGCACGGCCATCTTCCTTCTCTATTTCAATCGGCTTCAATCGGCTGCACACACACACACACACACACACACACACACACACACACACACACACACACACACACACACACACACACACACACACACACACACACACACACACACACACACACACACACACACACACACACACACACACACACACACACACACACACACACACACACACACACACACACACACACACACACACACACACACACACACACACACACACACACCTCGCTCCGAGACAGGTGCAGTTTTTGTTGCAGATTAAAAGTCCAAATCAGCAAGTTGTTTGAGCGGCGGAGGCCCGAGGCTCCGAGTGAGTCAGAGAGGGAGAGAGGGGGTGAGGAGACAAACGATAGGGTTTAAAGACGAGAGGAGGGAGGGGGGGGGGGATGAGGAAGACAGATTTAGGGCTGAGTTTATATGAGGAGGGGGCAGAGAGAGAGAAAGAATAATAAGACTGAAAGAAGAAAGAATTGAGGACGAGAGAAAGTGATTTAGTCTCTTTGTTGTGCGATGCAAATGATTAGAAGGGGACAGACTCACGTCATAATCTAACACACACACACACACACACACACACACACACACACACACACATACACACACACACACATGCACAGTGTGTATAAAAGGATTCACTATAAGATGATTTGAATTGATTTGAATGAATGAATATAATGTCCTCCTACAAAACAAGGTGCCCCAAATAGAGTGTAACTCATAAATGTATAATTTTTCAAGTCGTATTTCTTGTAATATATATTTTTATCGTCCATCTTTGACTCATCTACTTTGACTTTGGTAAGCAACCCCTAACAAATGCAGAGAAATAAATCATATGGGCCTACATTTATAACAGAAGTATTGTGTTTGATGTTAGACTTCTCCTTCATTTCCAGCGATTTTTCAGACAAAAGGCATTTTAAAGTGCTTAACAGGGGCATCAAAAATATGTTTAAAATACATAAAAATTGCATTTCAAAGACAGTAAAAACTAAAGATGAGACAAAGCAGATACATATTTAAAAAATGCGAAGGATATTGCATTTTAAAAAAGCAATAAAAACACAATGGGAAGTCAAAGTTGGGGGTCAAACGCAAAGGTCATGCACGTCTGTTTTCTGTTTCTGTCTTACAGAGGCCATATCCTGCTCATGCTCAGGTTCATATTAGCATTTAGTGTCTCTACTGTGACATGTCTCCATGCTCCGTATTTTCTCCTGTAACTTCTTCATGTTTGAAAAAGTCAATAAACAAAGCGTTAAAATCAAAACAAGGTCATGCATGTAAAGTTAAACACACACTGTGCTCACATTTGTCTACATGAGGCACTTGCAGATGATAAAACATGCAGAATTATGACATGTGACACTGAATAAAGCTGCATGCCGACACCAAAGCCCCCGTAGGACACACACACTTTCTGTGACACACACCGTTACTCACAGAGATCATCCCACACACACACACACACACACACACACACACACACACACACACACACCACACACACACACACACACACACACACACACACACACACACACACACACACACACACACACACACACACACACACACACACACACACACACACACACACACACACACACACACACACACTCTTACAGGCAGGTTGAGTGTGAAAAAGCCGCCGCTGGCTGTCAGGTCGGTCATACTCACTCTAAGTCGTGTGTGTTTTGTGTACCTGTAAACATCTTGGTGTGTGTGTGTGTGTGTGTGTGTGTGTGTGTGTGTGTGTGTGTGTGTGTGTGTGTGGTAGAAAGGGGGCTAAACACATGAGCATCGTTAGCGAAAAGAGGCAGAGGCACCAGGGTTTGAATTATTGATCAAGGGAGTGAATAGCATCAACACTGTAAATTCAGCAAATGCACAGGGAGAGGAAATGTGTTTATTCAAAGTGATGAGTACGCCCGAGTGTGTGTGTGTGTGTGTGTGTGTGTGTGTGTCACTCCTTTGCTTTTCCTTGCCTCCAAACAGCCCTGAGTCCAGACATCATGACCATATTGCAGGAAATCTCTGCCGTATGTCGCTCAGCTTCTGAACGCCCCGAGTCCAAAACAGCTGACTGGATTTTATCGTAGAGGAATATCAGAACAAAAAAAAGTTTAAACACAGAACGGGGATGAAACGATTTCAAAGGAAATGTGTGTCAGCGAGCACAGACTGGCAAACTGGTTATTCATGATGTAGAGGATGAAAGGCGGTAAATGGTTTCTAAATTTAAATTGCAATAGACAACGTTACCCTTTTCCCACCGATAGCATTTTGTATTTCTGTTGGTGTGAAAAATACAAGCGTATAACTTCCGCTTTGTTCCTCAGAGCCTCCTATAGCTACAACCTAAACAACTTATTTATATAATCAGATTTGTGCCATTTAGATATAGCAAGGCTTCTCAAAAGTAAATCGTATAACTTAAGCAAACACATAAATCTGATACTTATTCAGACCAACAGGGGGGAAATAGCAAGAATGGGCGATGACGTTGGATCAAAACGAATGACTTTTAACAACTTTTGAGTCGATTTTCTTGCATTTTTTATTGGAAAAGAGTAGGCAAAACTACACGGACCACAATGCATTTTGTTTTCCACGCCTTTGTGTCATATATTGAACCAATGGTGTCATTTTCTCTATAGTTAGTGGAATCCACATTTCCTTCATAATGATGAATTCAAGCAAAAAAACATGCTTATTGTAACTTTAATGTAGCGGAAATAGTTATAAAATAAATAATAGCAACACACATCCCTCAGAGGAATTAACACACCACCTACTTTATCATTGTCACACACACACACAAACACGCAACATCCACATCTAGTGAAAACGTGCACACTCCCTTGGGATGAGATGATGTACTGTAAAAGAAAAGTGTGTGTGTGTGTGTGTGTGTGTGTGTGTATTCCAGCTGTTCAAGAAAGCCATCTCGGAGGAGCAACTGTTCACATCTGGATAACAGCTGATGTTTGTTATCTCTCTCTCTGACAGATGGAAGTCGTTTTAAATCAAGCTGTGCAAACAACTCTAATGTGGAAGACATTATTTTTTTATTTGTGTGCTTAGGGCTCGTTTTGTTTGTGTCATTCAAATGTGTAACCTTGATGCAATAGTGTGAGTTGAAGCTCATATTCATGTCCAGTGGGTGTGTGTGTGGTGTGTGTGTGGTGTGTGTGTGTGTGTGGTGTGTGTGTGTGTGTGTGTGTGTGTGTGTGTGTGTGTGTGTGTGTGTGTGTGTGTGTAGGACCCTGACAGACCTGCTGAAGCAGGGGGGTGAGATGAGCTCGATGGAAAACGTTGCGTCCAGTTCGCCAAACGGAGGACGAGCCAACGGTGTTTCAACCCGGATGAAGCGCAGCAGGAGTGGTGAGTACTGACACACACACACACACACACACACACACACACACACACACACACAAATAGCTCTGGATGATGATGATGATGCTGGTGTGACTTTTTTTTAGGGAGGGCTTATGGAGGAGAGATGGAGATGGAACAATAGTAATCTAAAAGTAGAACACATGCATGTTGCACGTGCAGAAATGGTGCACTACAGTACACACACACACACACTGTTAATTAGTATGTTAATGTGAGCAGGCTGCAGCCCTACAGGAAGCACGTGATATTTCTTTACATTCCCTATCACACAGATTTAACACTTTTCCAGGTACATGCAACTCTTAAATGTAAAGAGCAAGAGTGTCATCATGTCTATTCATATTCAGACTGTTTAACTGATCTATACAAAACTGACTATGCATGCTCGTGTGTGTGTGTGTGTGTGTGTGTGTGTGTGTGTGTGTGTGGATTAGTATGCATTCTTTCTCCTGCATGTGAACATGTGTGTGTGTGTTTGATATCAAGCCCCCCTGTGGAGTTCATTCTCTCATCTCTGGCTCTGTATAATTTCTCAAGCTGCTAATGATGTGACATACTGTTCTTTAATCCAGAGAGCTTCATTGATCAGGTTCAGATTCACGGGTTTCAATAAAAAGGGACGTTTGTTGGACGGTTACTGTTGCTCGTTTCCCTATAAATCTATTAAACTGGGATGGAGTGAATAAAAAAGAGGGAGATAAAGCGATTCAGATCACAGCGTCACCTGAGTCTGTAGCCCCACAGTTATCAAATCATTTAAAGGTCCCATGTCATGCTTTTCTGGTTATTACCCGTCCCCTTGTGTGTAATGAAGGTTTGTCTGCATGTGAACGGTCTGCAGAGTCACAAACCCTCAAAGTACACCCTGTAGCGAGTAAAACTCTAACACAGAAAAGACCTGTCTATGCTGCCCCAGAACGCCTCGTTGGACATTTCAATTTTTCTTCCTGGGTACAGTGACGTGCCCATACCCAAATGGACCAAATGGACCAATCCGTGGAGCCGTTACGTTACGTCCGCGGAGCCGTTACGTTTGGACCAATCCGCTGACTTCCTCACACACTCAATCTTTTCTCAGCTGCAGCTCCGCCGATTTCTCCTCCCTGAGACGGCGGGACACGGCGAGGCTGTGAGTCGGTATGTGAGCACACACACAAACTCCCAGCCAGGCTGCGTGTGTGTGTGTGTGTGTTCGGGCTGAGTTCCGCTGTCTCGCAGACGGCCACTGGGCTCACAGGGAGGGGGGGGGGGCAGGAGCTCCAACAAGCCGTTTAGGACAGAGAGTGAATACACATACTATACAGAGATGCTGTATGAGAAACCAATGTGAGTTTGGAAAATTGCACAATATACATTTATTTTAGTAGACCTCAACAATGGAATTATGATCAGTAGAAATGGCCATGACATGGGACCTTTAATATTAAAAGATGTGTTGAAATAAGCTGCATGTCATACTAAATTGGAGAGGAAATATAAATGTATTGACTGTTACCAGATCTACAAATATCATCCCATTTGCACCATCATTCTCCCTACATTTCTTGGAGAAACAAATTTAGAAAAATTGTGGTTTTAAAGGTGGGGTAGGTAATTTTGGAGAAACCAGCTTGAGTGCGCTAGAATTTGAAAATACACAGCCGGAAAAAATCTGCCACTTCTTTACAGAGCCCCTCCTCCAACACACACGAACGCGCACATGACCAATGAGGGCACGAGATAAGTTTGTGCACAGATGGAAGGCTGACAGGCAGGTAGGCCATCCAGTTATTTTAGCCGGGCCGGCTCAGATGATTGGTCGTGCTTTTTACAGTACTACTGCTTCCACAGATGACATTTTTTTATGGATTTATTGTCAAAGCACTTAAGATATTCATTGCTATCGGGATGTTAAGAGCATTCCATGGAATATAACAAAAAGTGTTTCTCGAGCCGGTTTCTCAAACTTACCTACCCCACCTTTAAGATGATCCGAAAAAAGACTCTTGATTAAAACCTTCCAGTGTCTGTTTTTAGTTGTTTTAACTCAGTTTTTTGGTAGTTTTGTTGGTCATTCTTCACCTCTTTGAGGACACTTAGCATTTCTTCCTGTTTTTTAGGTAATTTTGGGTAATTGTGCATCTCTTACTGATCTTTTAGAGTCTGTTTTTAGTTGTTTTAACTTTGTTTTGTTCATTCTGCATCTCTTCGTAGTCGTTGGGCATCTATTTTAGTTATTTTGGATCTCTGCAGATGTTTTTCCTCTTTTTGTAGACACTTTTTCTGTCTCTTTTGGTTGTTTTGAGTCTCTTTTGTGGGTCATTTTGCACCTCTCTGTGGACATTTGGGGTCTGTTTGTTGTTATTTTGTGTCTCTTTCTGGTCATTGTTGTCCAGTTCTGCCTACTGTATATTAAACTATACATAAATCCTTATCAAATATCCATATTATATCGTGTCCAAACTCACCATGACATATTTTGTTTGGAAGGACAAATGTTCAAACTTGCCTGTGATTTGGTTAGGGTTAGAGTTGTAGGAAAGACTGAATTAAATCTGGCCCACATTGTGTGAGTATGCAACATGTCCCCTAATGAGTCACAGGACAAAGTGGAACAGCACATAGATTGGTTTGCAGAAAACAGATGGACAGAATCGGTTTTTCCAAAGCAGAGAAGATTGCGGACAGACTTTGGAAAAACGAACACACAGTAATTAAACTCATTAGTGCTCATTTGAGGGAAATGTAAAAAAATAAATAATAGAGCCCATTTAACAGAATTTCAGGATTTCTTATTTGCTGTTTAAGTTGTTTGGTAAAGTATTCAAATACTGATATATAATAAGTTAGAAAGTCAGAAATACATCATTTATTTTGTCTAAAACACTAAAAAGCAACAATATTTAAAACACAATTATGCAAAATATGTAAAAACATATTAAATAAAGAGGATATTTTGCTGGAGAATTATTTATTTTACTTTACTTTGAGAACATTTTGCTGATATGTGCTTTCACTTAAGTGAGAATTTGAATGTAGGACTTGTATTGGAGTTTTTTTACATTAAAGGTCCCCTATTATACTGTTTTTCATCAATATATTACAGGTCTCAGATATATACAAAACATGTCTCTGATTGGCTGAAACACCAAACAGATCATTGCAGCATTACCCATAATCCCCTCTGTTTCAGCCCTGTTTCCAAAGTGCTGATTCTCTGTCTGTTACTTTAGATGAAAATAAGGAGCCCCTCCCCACGCCCCTCTGAGAGAGATTTGGTTAAAAAGAACTCAATGGTGCTCTAGGAGGAGATTCAGGTGATAAGGTGGGGGGGGGGGGGGGGGTTACCTTGGTTGGTGATTGGCTAATGGTTACACAAGACAAACATCGTGATGACATAAAGTGGCCAAATCTGATCAGCTCATTTTCAGGACAGGTGTTTTATAAAAATGGATCAGGACAAAAAGAGAGAGAATCTTTGTTCCTGAAACTTTCAGAGTCTCTTTCCACAGAGGGGACACATGTTGATGAAGAAGAGACATGAAGAAGAGGGGACACATGGTGATGAAGAAGAGACATGAAGAAGAGGGGACACATGTTGATGTAGAAGAGACATGAAGAAGAGGGGGACACATGTTGATGAAGAAGAGACATGAAGAAGAGGGGACACATGGTGATGTAGAAGAGACATGAAGAAGAGGGGGACACATGGTGAGTAGAAGAACATGTATAAGAGGGACACATGTTGATGTAGAAGAGACATGAAGAAGAGGGGACACATGGTGATGTAGAAGAGACATGAAGAAGAGGGGACACATGTTGATGAAGAAGAGACATGAAGAAGAGGGGACACATGTTGATGTAGAAGAGACATGAAGAAGAGGGGACACATGTTGATGTAGAAGAGACATGAAGAAGAGGGGACACATGTTGATGTAGAAGAGACATGAAGAAGAGGGGACCACATGTTGATGTAGAAGAGACATGAAGAAGAGGGGACACATGTTGAGGTAGAGAGACATGAAGAAGAGGGGACACATGTTGATGTAGAAGAGACATGAAGAAGAGGGGACACATGTTGATGTAGAAGAGACATGAAGAAGAGGGGACACATGTTGATGAAGAAGAGACATGAAGAAGAGGGGACACATGTTGATGTAGAAGAGACATGAAGAAGAGGGGACACATGTTGATGTAGAAGAGACATGAAGAAGAGGGGACACATGTTGATGTAGAAGAGACATGAAGAAGAGGGGACACATGTTGATGTAGAAGAGACATGAAGAAGAGGGGACACATGTTGATGTGGTGAAGAGGGACACATGATAGAAGAGAATGACCGAATGATGGTGAAACATTGTTGATTGTAGAAGAGACATGAGAAGAGGGGACACATGTTTGAGTGTAGAAGAGGACCATTGAAGAGAGGGGGACACATGTTGATGTAGAAGAGGACATGAAGAAGACGGGGACAACATGGTATGATGTAGAAGAGACTGATGAAGAGGGGACACATGTGTGATGTCGAACGAGACATGAATGAAGAGGGGACACAGGTTGATTTAGAGAAGAGACATGAAGAAGAGGGGAGGGGGACACATGTTGATGTAGAAGAGGACATGAAGAAGAGGGGACAACATGTTGAGGTAGAAGAGGAACATGAAAGAAGAGGGGACACATGTTGATGTAGAAGAGACATGAAGAAGAGGGTACACATGTTGCTGTAGAAGAGACATGAAGAAGAGGGACACATGTTGAGTGTAGAAGAGACATGAAGAAGAGGGGACACATGTTGATGTAGAAGAGACATGAAGAAGAGGGGACACATGTTGATGTAGAAGAGACATGAAGAAGAGGGGACACTGTGATTGTAGAAGAACATGAAGATAGGGACACATGTTGGATGTAGAAAATAGAAGAGACATTAGAAGAGGGGACACATGTTGATGTAGAAGAGACATGAAGAAGAGGGGGACACATGTTGATTAGAATAGACATGAAGAAGAGGGGACACATGTTGATGTAGAAGAGACATGAAGAAGAGGGGAACACATGTTGATGTAGAAGAGACATGAAGAAGAGGGAGTTTGCATAATATGTAACCTTGTAAATACCCTTATATATTTGTATTGGTTATTTTTATTTCTTCCAGCACTGCATCTGGCATATCAGGGTAGTTCTTTTAAACTGTTTATTTTTAGATATACATGAGCAGCTAACATTATCTGAGGACAAGAGGCAACATTTGCCCAAAAGTCTCCAACAAACATGACTCATTGCATAAGAAAGCTTAAAGCAAAAAGCGTTGACCTATTATGAAGCAGACTGCAGGAGTAGCATGACCCAGTAACAGATCACTCAAAATCACCTTAGTTCCCCCCCCTCTTTTTAAACTTGAGCTGTTAGGAGGGTTGCTTTTTAAAAACTCTCAAATGTTTTCCCTGCACTCTCAACTCTCCCCTCGGGTCATGAGAGGGAAACGACTTATTCCTGCAAAACCAATCAGTTTGAATCTTTGCGGCTGGTTTCATTTTGATTATTCTGACAAAAGGCATGAGAAGTCAGCAGAAGATACACAGCTAGAGAGTTAAAGGGGGGGGGGGGGGGGGGGGGGGGGGGGGGGGGGGGGTCTCTTTCCTCTAGTGTGTTACAGTATATAGGTTTGCTCTCCAAAAGTGGAAATGTTGTCTTTATAAAAGTTAGAAATGAATAAGGAAAGAATTAGAGAAAAAGCAAAACAGAGTAATTTATGATTGAGGCAAAAGTTATGGCTTTTTACCTTAAAGGTCCCATGTCATGGCCATTTCTACTGATCATAATTCCATTGTTGAGGTCTACTAAAATAAATGTATATTGTGCAATGTTCCAAACTCACATTGGTTCCTCATACAGCATCTCTGTATAGTCTGTGTATTCACTCTCTGTCCTAAACGGCTTGTTGGAGCTCCTGCCCCCCCTCCCTGTGAGCCCAGTGTGCTCTGATTGGTCGGGACGTTGCAAGGCTCGTCGCTGCTGCGAGGGGCGGACAGGTTTCCGGGTCGGCGATACAGCGAGAACAAGCGAAACTCATCCTGAGCACACACAAACACTCACAGCCGAAGTAAAAACAATAAGTGAGGCTTGATATTGAGTAAGAAAAAGGTTTATAACGCTGTGAGAATGGGTCTGCGGAGAGCATTTCTCCACCATCCCAACTCGTCTATTACCAGCGTTCAGGGAGCTCTATGCAAGTCAATGGGACTCCCTGTTAGTTAGCCAAGGGATCCTGGTGTGTGAGGCGCTCCAAGGATTGATCCATTTGGGCCAATCCGGTCATTTGTTGTTGATTTGGGTGTTCACACGTCACAGAACCCAGGAAGCAAACAATGGAAAAAGAGAAATGTCCAACGAGGCGTTCTGGGGCAGCATAGACAGGTCTTTTCTGTGTTAGAGTTTACTCGCTACAGGGTGTACTTTGAGGGTTTGTGACTCTGCAGACCGTTTACATGCAGACAAACCTTCAGAACACACAAGGGGACGGGTAATAACCGGAAAAGCATGACATGGGACCTTTAATAAATAATAAAGCAAGCTATCTAGACAATCTCTGATTAGCAGTTGTTTTTTTTAAATGAAAAGACGGATACTCTTTTCTTTTATCATGTGAACGGTATCAATAAAATACCAGTTTTATTTCACACTGTGCTGGAGATGTTCTTAATGAGTTTCAGTAGAAGTGCTAATGATCGTTAGACATTCAGATTCACTTTCAGGTCAGCAACTAAAGACAAGATCGTTTTGGAGAGAAGTTAAAAGACTTTTTGATGAGTCCTTTCTTTCTCTCACTCACACACGCAAACACATTCACACATGGTCGTATTGTGCGTGCTCAACACCGTGAAGCACAAAGACAAGCAGAGGTCAACACATGTTCTGTTTACGGTTTGTGTTTTGTGTTTGAATTTGCATCTCAGAGGGTGTGTTTGTGCGTGAAATGGCAAATAAAAGCAGTCTTAAGTGCCGCGGGGGGGAATAAGGAAGGACAGTGTGTATTGCGTGGCATCTTTTAACAGGAAGATTAAATATGAAACGTCAACGTGTGTCAGTAGGAGTAAGCAGATTTAAAATATAGAGAATAAATTGTCGTCTGTGTGAAAGTGTGTGTGCATCATCTTGACGGCAGAAGACAAACACAACCCAAGACATGTTAAAATGTTCTCTTCACTACTAGTGTTTGACAGGTTACGTGACTTAGATTTGACTTAACAAACATATGTGTAATTTATTCAATACGTTCAATCGGGAGGTTGTATAGAAGTTTATGAGAAATTGCTGCTATTCTCACTTGATCCAAATTAGAGTTTGAAGACTGGAGTCTCACATAAAATATTATTAGTTGGTATTGTCGAGGCTCCTTTGAACACATTGGTTTTCTTAGGAGACGATGATGATGATGAGAAGAAGGTAGTAGATGATAGTGGTAATGATGATGATGATGGCAGCATAAAAAGGGCTTTCTCCTCATAATCCGCTAATCTGGTGCATGCTGAGAGGTCAACAGCAGTGAACTACACACACACACACACACACACACACCACAACACATATTACAAGACATGTTAAACATCCTCCTAGCTATATCAGCTTAAACTACAGTGCACTGTACAATAATAAGTGTGTGTGTGTGTGTGTGTGTGTGTGTGTGTGTGTGTGTGTGTGTGTGTGTGTGTGTGTGTGTGTGTGTGTGTGTGTGTGTGTGTGTGTGTGTGTGTGTGTGTGTGTGTGTGTGTGTGTGTGTGTGTGTGTGTGTGTGTGTGTGTGTGTGTGTGTGTGTGTGTATTAAGGTAGAGGCTCAGAGTTAGCAGTGCAAATGATGTTACGGTAAAGACTAACTCTTGACATTTTCTCCACCCCTCTGGCTTCAACATAATTTCATATTTCATCTTTCACATTTTTCTCTCTCACCACACAAACACAGATAACCTCACACACACACACACACACATCTCTTTTGCCTGTGTGTGAGTGCAGTGATTTGTATTAAGAAGTTTTGCCATATACCTTTCTGAGCACTGACACTCACAGATGTGACGAAATCTTCTGACTGATGCTGTGTGCACACAAACCCACACACACACACACACGTCAATTTAACACATGAAATAATATTAGGTTTTACAAATGATTCCTTTCCTCTCAAATGACCACATTTTGTGTGAGTGTGAGTGTGAGTGTGAGCGTGTGAGCGTGTGAGCGTGTGTGTGTGTGTGTGTGTCCTCGGGGCTGCATCAATGGACTTCATTACTGCTAATAGCCGCGGCTTCACTCTCTCTGCTAGTTTGTTCCATTGTTCATTAGCCTCACTTCATTTAACAGCTGTCTCACCCAAACTCACCCGCCTGGAGGTAAGAGAGAGAGAGGCTCTTTAACTCGTGATTAACCAGAAATGATGAGACCCTTCTATAGTACTCGTTCCCACCTGAGACAAGTCCCAGTACAACAGCTTATAAAAGGTATGCTTTACCAGGTCTGGTGGTTGCATTCAATTTATTATTACTTATGTATAATAAAGTTTGGAGTTAGGATGGGTAAAGCATTGTGTCATGGGATATTTTTACCGTTATAATAGTTTTTTGAGGCAGTTTTTAATCATAATTTTCAAATAATTGTTCTATTTCTTACAATTTATCTTCTCTAACTGTGTTTATGCACCATACACACCAAAGCAAAGTGGGTGAAAAACTCCTTATTGAGGGAACTTTAGGGGATTTTAGCCATTGCAGACCATTTACATGCACTTAAACGTATATAACACACTACAGGAAAGTGAAAACCCTAGTCCCTGTGAGGATAGAATACTACGGCCTCTTCAAGTAAAGGATCTGAGTACTTATTAAGGTGCTTACTGTATACAAACTGCACTGAGTAGCTTCCTAAAGGCTTAAAGGTCACCCATTATGCAAACTCCACTTGTTCACGTCTCCTACATCAACATGTGTCCCCTCTTCTTCATGTCTCTTCTACATCAACATGTGTCCCCTCTTCTTCATGTCTCTTCTTCATCAACATGTGTCCCCTCTTCTTCATGTCTCTTCTTCATCAACATGTGTCCCCTCTTCTTCATGTCTCTTCTTCATCAACATGTGTCCCCTCTTCTTCATGTCTCTTCTTTTTTCAACATGTGTCCCCTCTTCTTCATGTCTCTTCTACATCAACATGTGTCCCCTCTTCTTCATGTCTCTTCTACATCAACATGTGTCCCCTCTTCTCATGTCTCTTCTACATCAACATGTGTCCCCTCTTCTTCATGTCTCTTCTACATCAACATGTGTCCCCTCTTCTTCATGTCTCTTCTACATCAACATGTGTCCCCTCTTCTTCATGTCTCTTCTACATCAAGTCTCTTCTACATCAACATGTGTCCCCTCTTCTTCATGTCTCTTCTACATCAACATGTGTCCCTCTTCTTCATGTCTCTTCTACATCAACATGTGTCCCCTCTGTGGAAAGAGACTCTGAAAGTTTCAGGAACAAAGATTCTCTCTCTTTTTGTCCTGATCCATTTATATAAATATTATCACCTGAATCTCCTCCTAGAGCACCATATGTTCTTTTTTAACCAAATCTCTCTCAGAGGGCGTGGGGAGGGGCTCCTTATTTTCATCTAAAGTAACAGACAGAGAATCAGCACTTGGAAACAGGGCTGAAACAGAGGGGATTATGGGATGCTGCAATGATCTGTTTGGTGTTTCAGCCAATCAGAGACATGTTCTGGATATATCTGAGACCTGTGATATATTGATGAAAAACAGTATAATAGGGGACCTTTAAGTCATCTTCTCTTTAAAAAAAACAGGTTGTGGTTACAGCCTTTACGTCTCCAAAACCTGACTCTCCCCCCCCCCCCCTCTGTTTGCTTGTCTCTCATCAGAACAGTACCAACTGAATAACTCGCCGTTTGCTCAGGGGCTTCCACACCAGCACCGCAACCACAGCAGCGTGGGACTCAACAAGTACACCTCCCTCAAAGCAGTGGGTAAGTCACACACACACACACACACACACACACACACACACACACACACACACACACACACACACACACACACACACACACACACACACACACACACACACCACACACACACACACACACACACACACACACACACACACACACACACACACACACACACACACACACACACACACACACACACACACACACACACACACACACACACAGTGACACTAACTCTATTCGACACAGTAACCTTTAGAGTACAGTCTCAAGACAAAGCAGGTGAGCTGATCTTAAAGGGGAACCCTGCTGTTCCTGTCTGTGGTGTGAAAGTTAGATGGTGGTAAGTGGTGCAAAGATGACGTATCTGTGCAGGCTGATCTGAAAGATAGCATTGCAAGGGCTCCCTCCACAAAAAAAGCCAATGGGAATTATTCATTACATTTGGAGTATTGCATAAGTTTTGTGGCAAACATACTTTTATGATCCTTACATTCAGCAGGATAATCTCCACGTATTAAAACCACTTTTATAATATCTGAAGAGTAAGTGCAACTGCCAGATGTAAAAAGCTCACTTTTGCATGAATTCAACATAAGCCATAAAGCTATTAGTTAATTAAATAACACGTTCCCTATCTTTCGGCAAAGAGTTTCACAATGCTAGATTTTCCCTTTAACCTTTGTTGTGCAGCATTACAGTCGCTGATGGCACAAAATAATAATGATTTGGTGATTGTCTGAAATCCTAATTTACTCGCCACTATTGAGTCAACTATTGAGTGTGAAACAGGATAACGCCCAAGGCTAAACAGTTGCATTACAATATCACAAACAAACATAAAGCTATCTGTTTAGTGCTCTGTTCTGTTTTGCTAACGTTGGTTCTTATCAAGATGTTTTTACGCTGCTTTTTTAATGAGAGCAGATGTGGTTTTGTGATGTTTTTGCAGAGTAGGAAATATGCTGCAGGGTTTGTAACAGGTGATGGTACAGACAGTATCTGAGGTCACACACGGATGTTGTTGTCCTTGACTTTCTGTGGTTGTAATAGAGAGCGACATCTAACCCAAGGTATCCCATAAAAAAAATACAATCCTCGACTATGAGCCAAAAGCAACACACTGCCTGTCGAGGTGGATTGTTTTAACCTTTATCATGCATGGAAGGTCGACTGAGATTCTGGGTCATTTTCAAGCAACAACACCCTTTACATGTTCTCACTTACAATTCCTCAGATACGGCAGCTCTAAGCCTCTAGCGTGAATTTACTCTCGTTACATTGCAGAGGATAAAAACGACATGTCCCAGGTCAAATGTCAGTATCATCACCAGTTAGATATGTATTTGATAGATATGGAAATATATTATATTATTAGAAACAGCCTTATGATACTAATCTGCATTTAAACAACACACCAGTTGTCATTTTGCCTGTTATTAACATATTTTTTAAGGGGCTATATTGGAGGCTCAGAGCAAGTGCTGCGTTGGTATAAATAATCAATTATATTAGCTAGCGCTGCAACACATTGTACGTGATAGGCTAAGGGGCGGGACATCTCTAAGCGGTTGACCAATCACAACAGAGCCGGCCAGCTAACCAATCAGAGCAGACTGGGCTCTGGTTTCAGACAGAGGGTGAAAAGAGGTGCTGCAGCACAGACAGTATGAGAAAAATAAAGAGCTTTTTGAACATTAAAGCATGGAGACATGTCCCAGTAGAGACACTACATACTGATATACACCTGAACATCAGCAGGAGAGGACTCTTTAAAGTAGAGACACTACATACTGATATACACCTGAACATCAGCAGGAGAGGGCTCTTAAAGTAGAGACACTACATACTGATATACACCTGAACATCAGCAGGAGAGGACTCTTTAAAGTAGAGACACTACATACTGATATACACCTGAACATCAGCAGGAGAGGACTCTTTAAAGTAGAGACACTACATACTGATATACACCTGAACATCAGCAGGAGAGGACTCTTTAAAGTAGAGACACTACATACTGATATACACCTGAACATCAGCAGGAGAGGACTCTTTAAAGTAGAGACACTACATACTGATATACACCTGAACATCAGCAGGAGAGGACTCTTTAAAGTAGAGACACTACATACTGATATACACCTGAACATCAGCAGGAGAGGACTCTTTAAAGTAGAGACACTACATACTGATATACACCTGAACATCAGCAGGAGAGGACTCTTTAAAGTAGAGGACACTACATACTGATATACACCCTGAACATCAGCAGGAGAGGACTCTTTAAAGTAGAGACACTACATACTGATATACACCTGAACATCAGCAGGAGAGGACTCTTTAAAGTAGAGACACTACATACTGATATACACCTGAACATCAGCAGGAGAGGACTCTTTAAAGTAGAGACACTACATACTGATATACACCTGAACATCAGCAGGGAGGACTCTTTAAAGTAGAGGACCACTACATACTGATATACACCTGAACATCAGCAGGAGAGGACTCTTTAAAGTAGAGACACTACATACTGATATACACCTGAACATCAGCAGGAGAGGACTCTTTAAAGTAGAGACACTACATACTGATATACACCTGAACATCAGCAGGACAGGACTCTTTAAAGTAGAGACACGACATACTGATATACACCTGAACATCAGCAGGAGAGGACTCTTTAAAGTAGAGACACTACATACTGATATACACCTGAACATCAGCAGGAGAGGACTCTTTAAAGTAGAGACACTACATACTGATATACACCTGAACATCAGCAGGAGAGGACTCTTTAAAGTAGAGACACTACATACTGATATACACCTGAACATCAGCAGGAGAGGACTCTTTAAAGTAGAGACACTACATACTGATATACACCTGAACATCAGCAGGAGAGGACTCTTTAAAGTAGAGACACTACATACTGATATACACCTGAACATCAGCAGGACAGGACTCTTTAAAGTAGAGACACGACATACTGATATACACCTGAACATCAGCAGGAGAGGACTCTTTAAAGTAGAGACACTACATACTGATATACACCTGAACATCAGCAGGAGAGGACTCTTTAAAGTAGAGACACTACATACTGATATACACCTGAACATCAGCAGGAGAGGACTCTTTAAAGTACAGACACTACATACTGATATACACCTGAACATCAGCAGGAGAGGGCTCTTTAAAGTACAGACACTACATACTAATATGAACCTCAGAGATGTGCATATGTCCTCTTTAACAGTGGGGTGCTGTTTTTGCACTTTCCCATGAGATCAAAATGCAAAAAGAAATACCCTTTAACAGACAGATATGGTAAGAAGCTTAATCAGTCCTCATCATCAATCAGCCTTTTCAAATGGTCTTGACATTCAGATTTTGTAGAACTATCTTTCTCAGTTTGGATTTGTTATGTAACTTTTTTTTTTAAATAAACTCAACTGGGTGAAAAATAGCAGCACTTGTAAAAAGATGAAAACAAACGGCTATAGTTAGTGGACTTTCTACGCTGGAACAAAACAGAGACAAGGTTACTGCTCATGTAGACGGGAAGCTAGCGGCGATGACCTCAGCTTTTATTTGTATTTAAATCATTCTCTGTGACATTCATGTTCACACACACACACACACACACACACACACACACACACACACACACACACACACACACACACACACACACACACACACACACACACACACACACACACACACACACACACACACACACACACACACACACACACACACACACACACACACACACACACACACGGCGAGGGTTTTTATAAACCTTCATTGCAAATGTCCCCACATCCACAAATGTCCCCACATCCTGACACACCTCCATCATCTCTGTTGCACTCTTGAGTTTCTCCCTCCTCTTCCTCCTTTCTGCCATCTCGATCTCCAGCAGCTATAGAGGAAGACCGCCAGTATTTACCTTGAGGGCATATACACCAATTTGAAATACTTAAAGGGGACCTATCATGCAAAATGCACTTTTGTACGTCTTTTATACATGAATATGTGTCCCCGGTGTTCCAGGGAACTCACCAAGTGTCAGAAAACACAACCCTCTCTATTTTCCTCCATACCCAAATCTCTAAAAAAGGGGCTGCAACGGATCTGATAAAAACTGATCCAGATTTGAACACTGTCCTGACGTCAGGACGGTGGCGCTACGGCTATTGGGCCAACTCCACCAATCAGGAGGAGACAGCCACGGCCATTGCCGTTTGAAAGCGCTGGAGACGCTGTAGTACATATGCCAGGCCTGTAGATGGTGCTGTTCTCACAGAATCAGCCCTTGCTAAAACAGAGCTAGAAATTGTCAAATTGAGCAAAATGAGGCATGGCTAAAATGCATGATCTGTTTGGTATTTTGAAAAAAAAAAAGTATAAATATGCCTTATATACGTATGGTCCTACACTATATTATTCAAATATAGCATGATAGGTCCACTTTAAATCAGCTTTCCCCTTTCTTCTTCTTCTTCTGCTTTGGGTTTACTGGCAGGCCGCAAACCACTTCACGGCGTATACTGCCACCCGAAGTCCCCGGCCGGAAGTCCCCGGAGTTGGGGACTGGCTCCAGTAGAAGCTGCTGGGACTCCCAGCAGCTTCTACTGAAGCCTTCCGAGTAAATCGCCAGAACGCCGACACCTCCTCATCTCCACCGCTCCCACGTTATTTTTTGTGTTGCCATAAGTTAGTCTCTCTGCGTTGGTGCGCTGGGCTAATGCTAACGCTAACAATGCTAATGCGAGGATAATAAAATGGCGGCTTCACAAAACCTTTTGGGAGTTTTACGGGGCGTGGTTTGCAATCCGCCCAGCCAATCAGACATAGGAACCTTTTTCTCCCACGAAAGTGGTTCCGGCTATTTTTGGTGTGAACGCGACATTTCAGAACTATATCGGAACTAAAGTGGGAAAAGTACTGCGGTGTGAACGCGCCACATGTTTCTAAGTTTAGGGCGTCTTCTTTCCCCTACTAAACCTTCACTTACTTCTTACTGTCCGTCTAGCGCTCTAGCCTCATTGTCAGTTTTAGAGTTATTGTTTTTTTTATTACGATGGAACATTTAGATAATATCCAAATCAACCAGTTTCAAAACAGAAACGATCTCCATGCGCACAGGCATTTTTAGAATGTTTCATAAATCATATCCGTCCATACTAAGCTGCCTGAAAATGAAGTTTATTCATGAACACCGGGGATCCTATGGCCAGTGTAAACAGGAAGCAGATCACACTAATGTCAATAGACACAGAAACAGTAAGAAATGGTTCAAAAATAGCAAGCCTTCTTCGCTAATAGGAAGTATTAGAATGATAGAATTTAACTGGCCAACAGCTGCTAGCATTAACAATAAGGTCGGTAACCATTGAAACTCAAAAGTGATGTTTTTTTATCGTTCTTATTTAAAAGGGTGAGGTTAAAAAATCAGGGAGGGACATTTTGTGACCGATAATACCCAATCAGAAATGGATGTGATTCATCTTTTTCAAAATCTCAGTTTTTGCCCCTTAGGTTGCAGCCGGTCAACATGTCCGTTAAAGTTTAAATCTTCCGGACAAAATTAGAAAAGTGCCGGTCAAAGGTCTTCTTTGTTATTTATTGAGCTCTAAAACAAATGAATCACGAATCTATATAATAATATAAGAATAATACACGGAGGACGAAGCCTCTCTTTTCCTCCCCCTCTCCTGACGCTTGGCGTAAAAGTCACAGAAGTTATGCTTTTAAAACTTAAGTGTTAAGGAATAATTCTTCTAGATATCTAACCTTTTGCTCTGTGACGTTTTATGATCTACTCTGACGTCTGTTATCTCCTTTAAGGAAAGGCCTTGGTGCCATATGTGTTGTTGTCACCAGTTTGTGACCGGTCAACTTGTCTGGCACGAATGGTACTTGTTGTGAGAACGCTGAGGCACTTCTTTATCTGTGTTTGTGAAATCCTTGAGGCCATGAGTGTCGGATGCAGGTGGCTCAGTGTTCCCAGCTGTTTAGTCTACTCCTTCAGAGATGTTGATTTCTCTCTGTGAACCAGTTAAAAGGTCTAGCATAGAGAGAGGCTCTTCAGAATTGACGTGGCAACTCTACCGTGAAGTCAGAACCTCTGACTCTTTGACTTGTGATGTGAATCCTCCGGCCGGATACTCTGAATAAACCCATCAGTGTTTGACATCAAAAGCTCCAACTCTCACCGTGTCTCCTTCCTGAGTCGGTGACTCCCAATGCATTGCTACACAGAAGTTTCCCCCACAATAAGTATTATTAAAGATGTAACCTTAGAGTGAGAAACATAATGTTAAAGTGACATTTGTAGTTTAATGGTAAATGCTGAAGCGTAGAGTAACAGTTGCACAAGCAGAGAAGGAGTATAAAGTCAGCAAAGTGTCTCGGTAACCAGCAGTAACTCACTAAAGCTAACATTAGCAAATGGTCATACCAGACGAAGTGAGGATGAAGCGGGAAAAAACACAGAACAAATTAAATAAGGCAAGATTGAGTTTTACGGTTTGTGACTTCAAGTTTCATCTGTAAGAATAATGTGTAATTTCTACTTTAATAAGTTGCATGGTCTACTTTTAAAGTTTCTAAGACGACATTACTGACAGGTTGTAGCCGTGAGGTCCAAACATATAAATGCATCACGGATTAAAGTGTGATTAAGGCGTCAGTGTTCCCACGATCACACTCACATTGACAGTTCATATCAGGCGACTTCTGCATGTGACTCAGAAGTGCATCAGACTGTGTCAAATGGAAAATGACTCTAAACGTATAAACAACTTTAAGCAGGCTAAATATAGCAAGTGTTGGCTACTGGCCTTATTGTGAAGCCATATAAATGGAGAAATGAAAGGATTATTCCCGATGTATTCAACTTGTTTGTGTTGTTGGCGTTCTTTATATCAGTTATGAAAGCAGCATTGTCAACACTAAGGTAATTGCTGAGATTTGGGAACATTTTTATAATGAATTATGAAGAAAGGAGTGGATAATCCTCACAAACCAACAATTTAACATACTTGCATCCCTTAAAAATTGCATTTCCTCTGATTGGTTACTTGGCCAGCTCTGTTGTGATTGGTCAACCGCTTAGAGATGTCCCGCCCCTTAGCCTATCACTTACAATGTGTTGGAGCGCAAGCCAATAGAAGCACGAGTTAGGGATTTTAGCCTTTTCAGACCATTTACATGCACACAAAAACCTAAAGAACACACTAAAGGAAAGAGAACCAGAAAGAAGAATAGAGCCCCTTCAAGTAATACTTAAAGTAAGATAAAAAATAATATCCAGAACTACAAAAAGAACCCAACTGTAATAAACAAAATGAATCTGTAACATACTAATAAATGCTCTGTACTGGTGTTACTTTTCTCAGCCATCATGTCCATGTCCATTCCGTTCCAAATATCACTCGTCACCGGCTTGAGCTTCAATCTCAGGATCCATGTATTTATGATCCTCTCAAGAATGGAAGTAGTCATCACATACAGAGCATCAACTAGTTCCTGAACAGTGTCCTTCACATGCTGATATCCAAGAGAGGGAGTTACACAGTCACAAGATGGTGGAATAGAAAGCAGTATTCAATGTTTAGCTCAGATTAGCTAAGGCCCGCGTAAGCAATAAACATGACAGTCATATGCCTATCTCCATAGGGGCTGAATCATCATGTTAATCGTAGGAACATAGCTATCGTATGTTCAAAACAGTGTCTCATGAGCTCCTTCTATCGTACATCCGGTTACGTACACAGTTACCGTTAGGCACTTGTTATCATGTGCTACTCTGATATAGAAAAGAGTACATTCAGTATTTTCCCAACAAAACCTGTTTCTGATTCTGATGTCTTCATTTCAGCTCAAACTGCATCTCGTAGCTACTACAAGAGCTTCCCTCTCATGGACTTTTCTCAGCTCCAGCCGGTGCCAATCCCACCGAAAGAGAAGTCTTACATCCACCAGACGGATTCCTCGCACCAAGACCTCCACGCCCCGCTCTCCATCTCCATCCCCAGCAGCCACTTGGAGCATTCCCACCTCCCAAAATCCACCACGCTTCCTTTTCTTTCCAGCTCGGCCTTCAAAGCCTGGGAACCCACGCGGTGCCATGTTCAAAGGCAGGCTTCGGCTCGAGTTTACGCCCCATCTAACCACATTTCCTCACGTAGACATGGCTATTCTACGCGGAGGCAGCAGAGCATAGAGAACATGCCGGATCTCTTCAGCCAGCCCTATGGAGGCATGTATGCGGCGGGACAGGCGCACGTTCAACACCAACCTCAACCTCAACCTCAACCTTCGTATAACCACCACCACCACCAGAGGCAGAAGAGCTACAGCACCACCGAGGTGACCGTTTAAGTGCCGGGGAGCAGCTTGTTGTGATGTTAAAACAGACCAACAAAAAGCTTTGGTGTAAACCAGAGTTTGGGAGAGTTGGCCTGACAGGTGAGGGGTGAAAAACAGTGAGATTCGTTCAGATTTACGTGATGAAAAGAGGTGTTTTGATAAGTGGAAACAGAGAGATTTAGGAGCGAAACAAGGAGCAGAACGACGTCTCTTTACAGAATTAGACTCTGAAGGGTCTTGTACATTGATTATATTAAGTGCAGCTTTTAGAGCAGTGAGCAAACTAGATTTTGTCCGATTTGGAGTCTGTGTTAGCCAGGAAGCTCCAGGTGAGTTTATGTATTCAGTAGGTCATCAGTACATGGCTCCTGGTCAGGGATTGTTATTAAAAATCATTCCATAATGACCTTGGCACTGACAAAAACTGCAGTCAGAGGCAATACAATTTAGCGCTTATGTGAAGATATTTAAATGTGAAATGTGGTTTCTGTGGTTTCCCTACAGGCGTTAGACTCAGGAATTATTCATTAAAATGTAAAGAAACAATACTTCATCTTTATTGGACATCTGTAGAAACTGAAACAACTTGATAAAACAAACCCATTTAACATTTGGACTTATGAGCTTTCTTGCCAAGAGTTATATAAAAACATCAATATCTGTGCGCCAAATATGAAGCTCCTGTTAGCGGTTAGCTTAGCCTAGCATTGGTTACAACATAAGTACAAGTGCAGTAACTTCCTGGAGTCTAGTCTTTGGATTTTACACTAGTCAACAAAAGGTAGAGGGTTATTTGAGGAGATTTCAAGTAGATTTAGTTACCTGTTGAGGTTAAAATAGATGAGATGTTCCCCCCTGTTTCTAGTCTTTATGCTAGAGCTAAGCTAACTAGCGTAGCTACATATTTAACGTACAGTAACAATAATGTTCTTGCATTTTCATCTAACCTTCTGCAAGAAAGCTAATAAACATTTTCCAAAACTGCTTAATTGTTCCCCTAATAACTAAGTCAGCACTGCATGTTACATTCGACAACTGTAGGCTATATTACAGCCAATAATAACAGCAGATAAGTCTGCATAGTTAATCAATGGAATAAATACTCTAATAATAATCTTTCTATCAATTAATTTTTGTCAAATGGTTTATCAGGCTTGGTTGAGAAGTCTGTGAGTCATTCAAAATCTCTTTAAATCGAGTTTGAAGTCGGATTTGGAGCCAAGAAATCTCTCAAATGTTAGACAATGTGTTGCTCTTGGTCTAATATGGACATCATGTGAAATGGGGCAGTAAAAATCAACTAATTTCAAGCATAAATTGAGGTGTTATAACATATGTAAGGGTATATAATGGGTTTAGGTTCAGGCAAAGTCTAAATTTGAGGCATTTTAATAGAAAGATTTGTTCTCAACAAGACTCTATTTCTCAGTGAAATGTACATCACATCCCATTTAGCTTCAGTATAATCATGAATCATCTCAAGGTGACACACTTCAGGTCATTTTCGATCCCTTTAGATGCCTTTCTGTGCATCCTTTGCTACGTTCCCTCTTGTAAAAACACCTCTACTAGTTTGCATCTCTCGCTCTACCTCCATGCCCAGCCGACTTCTCCTCGTTTTCTCTCCCACCACCCTCTTTTTTTTTTCCACGAGGAAGCGCTTTGCATTCACTAGCATCTGGCCGAGCACACAGGGAACAGCATCCCCGGGGTCACATTAACTCGATGGTGAGGACAATGCCACCATCATGTCAGCTCCCATCAGCCTCCATCCCCAGCAGAGAGAGGCAGAGGGGGACGGTGCGAGAGCCAGAGGCTGGGAGCTCTTTAGAGAAGAGGAGAAAGGAAGGAGAGAAATAGAAAAACAAATGAATATGGCCGCCTGCTTTCTTTCCTCAGGGGATGGGGAAAGGGAAGGAGTCACTGTGGATCTGGGTCTCTCACTACTAACTTGTCTGGGTCATAAATCACCGTGTGTGGATGTGTTTTGCGATTTCCAAACCCCAGGCACCAAAACAGGGGAATTCACTGAGGCACTTCCACGCCTGGAGGCTTTGGACGTTTCTCATCTTGTCTCTGAGGATCGTAGAGCGAAGGACAGTGTGCAGAGCTGCTGCTGTGAACATGCAACAGTTAATGCATCCGACTTGTTGGTAAAAGTGTATGTCTGCATCTGCAACACACTCAGGAACCGCACAATGAAGTGAACTGTTAATAAGGATTGCACGTGTCCAGAAAAGCTTCCTTAGGAGAGTAATGTTTGTGACAAAAAAGCATAGGATTTTAGGGGGGAAAAAGTGCTTTTGTAGAGCCAAGAACAAACACAACACATGGACAAATCACACAACAAAACACGGCAATATTAAGTGACCAAACCCCTCTTTTCCGCAAAACTACACCCATATAAAAATCCTAAAGCACTTGTGCCATGAAACTGACTATATTTTGTAATACCAATGTCATAAACATAAACATATGCAGCAAATTATAGATCTGATATGTCAAACTAAAGTTCATATATATTTTTTTTTTGAGAAAACATTAGCCTAAGTCCAATCAGCAGGTTTATTCTTCCTCACATCCATTTATTTCTCAAGTTAGGTCGATGTATTTCCAGATGCAAGACGTATTAGGTACGTTTGGCTAGTGTTTCCTCTAAAGTTTCCCCCATGATAACTAATATTATGAGCACCTTGCTGCTGAGGGAGATCATTTCACTCATATGCTAACAAACAAACCATCACAGTCTTCGGTCTTTACATTTAAAAACCATCAGATTTAACGATTCCTAGAAATGTAGCACTGATGTTTTGGTCCAAAAAAAACAACACAGAAATCATAATTTCTCGTTTTTCATTCACCCATAATTTGACACTAAAATATATTTTTCAAATACTGAAGTAAAAGATTCTGGGAAGCCCCGTCTCACGGCATTTCATGTTATAGTCACGAAATTAATTTAATCTATTGATTCGTTTTCACCAACACGATCTTCCCATTTTTTTCGTGTCACACAGAACGATTTTAAAAGCAATGTATTTCTATTGGTAGTATGTTTCGTGCCTGACCACATATTTTTGTCCGGTCGGGTCTTGAAAGACCAGAAGCTGTGTGGTTCATAAAAACATTTTCTTACTCAATATCTTTCCCTAAGCCTAAGCCTTTTATTTTAAAACTGTATAATGTCTGAGTTTTTTTGCCGTCCGCGAGGAAAATAAATGGCTCAGAGCCTCAGAATACTGAAATCTGTATTTTTAAATTCCTTCTAATTTGTTATTATTTGGTGCAGGCACGAAACATACTACCAATATAAATACATTGCTTCTAAAATCGTTCTGTGTCAGAATACTGAAATCTGTATTTTTTTTAAATATATTTTTCCTTCTAATTTGTTATTATTTACATTGCTTTTAAAATCGTTCTGTGTGACACGAAAAAAATGGGGAAATAGTGTTGGTGAACACGAATCAATAGATTAATTTCGTGACTATAACACGAGATGCCGTGAGACTGGGTTGAATTATTTGTACTTAATGCTGTGAGTTAAAGATCTGCTGATTTAGAGACAAAACCTGTCTTTACGAGCAATCGAAGTTCGCTGTGAAGTGCTTCCAATGTCTGTCTTGCTATGAAATCATGCATTTTCCCCTCTGATAACAACGGTTCCTATATTTTATTTTTGTCTATTTATGAAACATGTCTCACATGTTGTGTACAATATGAGTCAGTCTTTTAAAACACAGTATTTTTTAGATTTTATGTAGTGCAAAAAAACATTGTCTTCTTGCTTTACTTATGAATATTGTGTAAATATGCGTATGTAATGGAATTTCCTATATTTTGTTTGATATAAGGGCTGTATGAACCAAGTCATTTTAAGAGTATTTATTATTACTGTGAGATTTTAACAGAATATATTACGTGCAATAGAGGAGAATAAAGTCCTAATGTACAGAATAACTGTGTGTCACATTAGTGCAGAAGGTTTTTACATTAAGTGGCAAAACACAGTGACAGATATGAAGTGCAGAGTAGGAAAAACCAACTGTAAAGCAGACAGGTTGTCTAAAGCATTGATCATGTTCCTATTGTACGACTACTCAAAACTGACCGATATACGGGACGCTCTGCAGAAACAAGTAGCTGTACGATAAATTAGATTTGCAGTGAGCATGCAGCAGTTTGTTTGCACATGCAGAGAAGATTGTGATGTTTAATGTTGTGTACAGATACTGGGCTTACACTGTTAAATACAATAGAAATGTTTCTTTGCACCAAGTGAAAAGGAGGGACTTTATTCCACTTTGAACCTCTGCAGGTCATCGTCTTGGAGTATCTGTTTTACGAAGGAATATATGAGATAAAAGCATGGGTGGATTACTGAATTGGACTACTGGGAACAGGCTAGAGAAGCCCAAAATGCAAGAGGAAGATTGTAGGACTTCCCTCAAAGAGACACACAAGAAAGACACTCGTAATGACTACAGAGACTAAAAGGTATTTGAAATTGAAGCAAGAAAGCTGCAAAAAGACAAAAAAACAACAATAAGATGCAAAGATAGTGACTTCAACTATCAAAAGGAGCAGAGTACAAAAAGACACATAACGACTAACAGCTATACAACGCACATGGACGACTGAGACGACGTGAAGAGACACAACATGACAACAAAGAGACACGAAGCAACCACAAATAGAAAGAAAACTACTACAAATTGACCACAATGAGATAACAAAACAGCTGCGGAGAGAAAACAAAGAGATGTGTGACTAGAAAGAGACAAAATGACTACAAAACTATTTAAAAAATGCAAAATGACCATAAAAATAGCTACTAAAAGACACAAAAATTACAACAAGAGGCTAAACAACCAGTGGCGGACTGGCCATCGGGACGTTCGGGACGAATCCCGATGGGCCGAGGTACTGAAGTGGGCCGGTCGGACGATGTGGGCCGCCCCCGTCGACAATTTACTAGCGGTACCGAGGTGGGCCGGTCCGATAAATCACTA